AACTACATCCGGGACCTGAGTAACATATTTTCTATATCTTCACTAGTGAAGATATCAATGATGTCACTTGCCGCTGTTTTCCCGCTCTTTTTAACGCGCGTTCAACAAGTTTTTGTTTGTGAAAATTACACGTTGGCTTAAAGACATGAAGTTTGCCTTCTTGCGTTTAAAAATATTTCACCGCTCACACGACAGACATAGAGGATATTAGACAKTGTTGCGAAGATTGAAGTCTATCTTTGAGTCAAAGATAGACTTCACATCTTCGCGACACTGTCTAATATCCTCCATGCCTGTCGTGTTGTCGTGTGTAATAGAGTGATCATAAACCCGTGAAACAAATACCATTGTTAGTGGGTAATCGTGAAATGACAACTAAATAACACAATGGAATAATGGTCAACTAATTAGTATTAGGCTTCTGTGTATTTCACGGGTTTACGAATACCACTCTATAAGCAAGATTTCAAGCGGTAATCGATATCAACACATATATCGTGTACAGCATGAACACGATAGTTCATGTTGCAATTTGATAAATTTTCACGTTCGGACTAGTACAATATTGAAAAATATTATAGCAGCGGTTAAACTCTCTGGTCTAATAAGAACAATGTCAAGGTTTTACAAGGCTATTTATTCCGAAGAAGTCATCTTTTTGGACGATCATCACTCTACAGTGAACTAGAAGCAGTAGCTACAAAAACTGGAACTCACTACAAATTGGCGCGTGGAATTTAACGACAGCTCATGGGTATTTTAATAGCACTTGGTTGGCTTTCGATTTTTGTAAGTAGTTGTATTTGTAACTTCAGTTTAAGCTTATACCCTGTTACCTATCGACTCCAGGAAGTCCGTTGTGGCTACCCGCAATCAAACGTTGAAGTGTCACAGTTGCGATATAGTTCCATTGCCATTTATCAATGCATTCCTCCATTTCCACTGTCTAATTCAACAGTTTCTTTCTTCTCAAGGTCGTCCACAGTGTATCATCGTCACAGGACGAAACCATCCATCACGGAATCCCATACGATGCAACTGGGTAAGATTAATATTCCACACTGAAAATAAAATAGAAAATATATCGGTTAATATACTTGGAATGTTGTTTTTGAATTTATTTTATATTTTGACTTATATTTATGCCCAACATTTCCCCTTTTCATTGGTTTTTCATTTACATTTCCTCTCTCTCTCTCTCCCTTCTTTCTTCGTCCATTAGCTAGCCTTTTGCTAGTTTTTATTTCCCCTTTGAGAATATTTTGTTCTGTTCTATGCTAATCACATTAAAACTATTTAAAAACTATAGTTCGCAAGAAGAACTTCAAACTGACAATCCCAAAGAATCTGGACTTAACACCTATAACGTAAAAGAGGTCGCAAAGAAAAATCCTAAAAAACTTGCCCATCCGTGTTACGCACCTTCCCACATGTACGGCCCCACGCCTGAATCGATCTTGATAAACGGGCAAAGATTCCTACTAAATACGGCGAGATGTAAATCTCGTACCATCTTTGCATGCTTGGACAACGTTGCCACAAGTTTAGGACGCTGCCAAGTAATTGTAAAAACCTTTAGGGGGTTCTCTTATACTAGTGGTTGCCAATGTTCAGGTTAATTTACGTGGAAGATTGGAATTTGTTGGAACCAAAGTAGCTAGGAAATTGTTAAAATGACTTATGTGAAGGAATAAAATTGGGTCCACTTCAATGATTTTTAGTTTAATTGATGGAGATGTTACTGTTCAAGATTCTTTCCATAGATATATGATCCATCCATCCCTCCCTCCCTCCCTCTCCTCTCTCTCTCTCTCCATCCGTCCATCCATCCATCCGTCCACCCACCCACTCACCCATCCATCCATTTATCCATCCGTCCGTCCGTACGTCCAGTATCTTATGAAAATGAATTATTCCGAGTAATCCCGATTAATTCCGATTCTTCAGGAGTGTACACGGATAATTAGCAATTATTAGTCTTCGAGCCTGAATAGACTATGAGTCAATAGCCCATGAGGCCAAAGTCCGAAACTCAAGACTCGTTTCCATCTATATATTTGACAGATTAGTTGGATTTGACTAAAACAATGGACCGTTTTCTCAAGGTTGCGTGCGCATCCGAATTTAAGGAACTTGACGGTTCGCCCTCATGGCCCATTAGTCAATAGATGATAATGATGGTGATGTTTGTGATGGTAACCCATTCAGTCTAGAGGACTAATAGACCTTATTCGTGGTGTGACAATGTTTTCCCAATTCAGCGTGACAAACCTCTGGGGGAATGAAGAGCTATTGTTTTGAAACTCGTCGGGATATCATCGTTATTCCTTTCGTATCCTTTGGGATACTCATGAATTTTTCGAAGAGTAAAACAAAAGAAAATGAATCCCCTGGAGGTTCGAAAACATTGTCACACCACGAATAAGGTCTATTGCTAAATACATTGCGAAAAAATTCTAATTCTTACGCTTCAATTTACATATCCTTTCTGATCTAAACTCACATCATACGTGATATTTCATCATAACATTTCTGGGGTAAGATGTTGGAGCATTACTGAAAGAGTATCTACAAAAAGGTAAAAAGCAATAGCGAGAAAATTTAACGATAATATTGAGTATAAGTTTATTATATGAGGTTATTGGTAAAACGTTAAGCAACGCTTTTGATATGGTTTAGAATGTTAAGCGAACGTGTGAAATCGTTATTTGAAGTTTGTATATATAAAGCGTTCAATGCCGTGGTGTTTTGAAGTTCGGGCATAAAATGGTTAAAAATCCTATGAAGAATGTAAATATTTTATACGATAATCACAGGACATTGCTACTTTTGCCTGTAAAAGTTTTGTCTTAATAGTAGGAAAAATATTTATCAATGCGACAGCGAAACACTCTGAAGAATCCAATTTTTTATCCAATAATGCATGACACAGAACTTTGTTACTTTTTCATGTGAAAGTTTTCTATTTTACATCAGTTGTTATCAGTGTCTGCAAAATATTTTATCCAATGCGACAGCGAAAGTCTTGTGAAGAATTCCTTTGTTTCTTTTGCCAGCGGAGTTTTGTCTTCAAATTCTCTTTACGTAGAATGGTATTTGACAATTCCATAGCAAAGTCCTGTCTTTGTACAAATGTTTGTTTGAATCAAATCTGAAATCAGTTATTTAGTTTGGTGCAAAATTTGAAAAAGAAGGGCTTGGAAATCCAACGGTTCTAGCAGATCTTGCCTCAACGAGTCTAATTCTTCATCTGATAGCCGATGCTTCTGTAGTTCCCTTTCGATTTGTTGTGCTCTCGAAAAAACAAACGCTTCTGAAATATTACCAACTGATCGATTTTGTGTCTTCTCTACCAAGCGGCTCGTCGAGTGCTCGATAGTAGACGAGTCAGACTTTGCCTTACTTCGGGATGTTCGTTTGTATTTCGGTTGTGAGTCGTCTCTTCGCTGTCTTGCTTTGATATGAATTTCCTCGTACACTGAAGGTCCGCTTTCCATATTATTTTCTGTTAATTCAAGCTATCTTCACTGAAATGTTCTTCCTGACACGAGTTCTGGCACTCTCTTAACCGTTTCCAGAATAACGAAAGCTATTTTTCATCGTCGTATTTATATGCAGGCGTGTCTTTGAACTAAGAATAAAAATCTACGAGAATATCAGCTAATTAATCTGGCCTAAAAAAAGGTTTGGCTGAATCACACTAATCTCCTTATAAGGCACCTTAGAAGTCTTGACCAAGGCGTTGCCCTCTTTTTTCGGCCGATCGAATGTTGTTTTTTTTTTAATTTTAGGCGATCGCGACAATATTCTATTGGTTCCCAAACAACCCTGGGTCAGCGTTTGCTTTTAGAAGAGGATATTTTTAGCATCTTTTTTTTTTTTTTGTAATATGCTTACTGAGAAGTGAATTCAAATTAAAACAATATTACTAGACAATCGATTATCTTCGGTCAAATTTAGCTAGATGGGGAAGGGCAAGGGATTGGGGATGTACGCTAGGGCGGTAGAGGAAAGGATCGTTAGCTGTATATAACTATTATAAGATATCCTTGCAAGGCGTTGTATCAAAAGTTTTAAATAGATTCGAGCACATTAACAATCATCAGGAGAGCATGGAAAGTCGATCGTTCTGTTAACGTATGTTTGAGATCTCATTAATGGTTGCAACTGCAAATGAGAATAGAGACATTCATTCATGCATTTTTACTTTCAAAGCTGCTGAGCTTCTATTCCAATATTCCTGCAAACTACTTCGTAAAATAAAGGACAAACCAGCGGATCAGGGCGGATCCAGCCAAAGAAAAGGGGGGGGGGGGGGGGGGGGGAGTTGACCGAATTTTGCGAACGACACTACACGGGTCGAGCTTGAAAAAAAATCTGTGCTTTCTCTTCCACTTCAAGAAATATAACCGACGTCCAGAAGGGCGGGCTACAGCTATCCTTTGCACCCTCCTGAACCGCCCCTGTAGCTATGAGTGAAACAAAAGCAACTAAGGAATCATTCTATTAAAAAGGTGCAACAATATGATACGATAGCAACGATACGTCAAAAAGACTTAAGACTATTTTTTATATTAAAAAAGTAAAAAATTTTCGACGGCGATTTTTTTCTTTCCTACGACATGAAATGAAAAGATCGTACTCGTACAGAAGATAAAATAATGCGAAATTGTGACTGTTGCCGAAAATTATATTTCCATCAAAAATATAATAACTTTTCGACGGTAAATTTTATCTTTCATACGACAGGAAAATAAAAGATTCGGTACTACTGAATCTAAATCAGAACTGTTGCCAAAACAGTTGTTTTCCTCATGGTGCCAAATTTGTGTATATTGACTTCAGCTTTTTAGGATGAACAATTTCTACAAATATGAAAACCTTTTACCGTATAACGTACACAGGCTACGCCGGGATACCAGGGCCCGGTTGCATAAAGCTCTCTTAAGATAAGAGCATCCGTAAGTATTGTTCCAAAACAGTAGGCCATTGTCCTAAGACAATACTTATGAGTGTTTTTAAGCTTTTTGATCTTAAGAGAGCTTCATGCAATTGGGCCCTGGGCACTAAGTTTCCAAAGATAAAGATAGAACTAAGCTGTATCCACCAAGGAGCAGGCGTAGCTCAGTTGGCTAGTAATTAAGCCTCCTTCAGACCTCGGTTCGGTTTCGCCTACACTCAATTGAAGAATCGTTGTCGGGTTCAGAAACATAGAACATAGAAGCTGAGCCCGAAATGGCACAATGACAATGACAAATAATATCACAGATGATAAGTTAATATGGACCTCGTACAGTTGTATCTAGGGATGTTGCTATAAACAAATAATATCAATGATGATACGTTAATATGGACC